AAACCAAAGGCATGGCTTCTCTACAGGGATCCGCGCCACAGAAAGCACAATCTGAAAATAAAAACCGCCTTTCCCAAGCGATCTGCCCACACCCAGGCGGATCACGGTGCGCCCCTCGCTCTGCTGCGGAGCCCCGGCCCCAGGCGCGGTGGGTCTAGTACTCATCCCCGCCCGCGGCACCGAGAGCCCACGCTCCTTCAGCGCCTGCACCTTCAGCTTCTCCGACTCCTGCTTGGCTTGCTGCTCCACGCGCTGCTCCTCCAGGATCTCCTCGATGGAGACCTGCTGCAGCGGCGTGTCGCTCTCCTTCTCCAGGTCCTGCAACAGAAACACCCTGTTCAGAGCCCAGGGCGGCTGCCGTGGCCGGGACCGGACCCGCGGCTCTGCTCGTGGGATGCTCCGGGCATCGCTCCACCGGCACTGGGACAACGTCGCCTCCAACAAGGGCACATCGAGGGGGTGACACCAGCGGGGACGGCAAAGCTCTGGGGGGGTCTGCACGCACATCTCCATGGGGACACCAACACACGTCCCCCTTGTGTCCTTGGGCTTCGGTGACATCCCAGCGCTCCAGTGCTGCTTGGAGTCACATCATCCCCACAGCCACCACCAGCCACTCGGTCCCTCCACCGGCAGGGCTGGCAGCGGGCACAGCACCGCGTACTTACTATCTCCCCCAGCAGAACAACGTTCTCGCCTCTCACGACAAAGATGCCTCGAGGGATGTCTCCATACTTCTTGCCCACGTGGATGCGCTCTACAGTCTGGTGCAACACCAAGTTTGCTGCAGTGATCAAGAGAGAGAAAATAATCCGTGTTTTGCGGGGTTTTCTGGCTACAAAGAGCGACTCATCCCAGCCAGGCAGAAAATCCCCAGCAGCTGTGGCACCGGCGCTTCCACGCTTCCTCTGAGCCAAGTCACCGGAGACACCGACCCTGTCCCCGGCGAAACGCGGGGGCTGCAGGGATGGATGCAGCTCCTCGGAGCAGCTCCTGCAGCCAGCACAGGCAGAGCAGTGAGCTCAGCCACCCAGGACCCAAGCCCACCCGCCAGCACGTGCCAGCAACAGCAGAGGTGACAACAACGGTGTCATCAGTGCGGCAGGCTCTGAGCAAGGACTGAGACACCTGGTCCTGAGCACATCACAGACACCCGGGTGATTTCTGCCCAAAAAGGGATGGACGGAGGGTGCACCAGTGCTGGGCGCAGCGGGGAGGGGGGCTGCACCCAGTGC